ATTTTCCTCGCTTCACGGACGTTGTAAAGGGGGGGAGGTCGTACTTGGTCATTGTTGAGAGGGGGTATTTACGTTTTGGCGTTGTAGGAGCGGTGGTTGACTTTCCGTGATATTCCTGTTTCATGCGTACTATATATCCCCGCTCGACAGCAAACTTGCATTGCTTGTGTGATTTTACTGGGTTGTTGGGTCTTACACGATGCTGTGTCTTGACTGTAGCATTTTATAAACATAAAATATGTTGATGTAGTGCATAAGTTGGTATTTCGGCGGATTCGCCTTTTTCGGAGCCTGAAAGGGTCAAGCCGAATCGTGATGTCTGAACTAGTATCACGTGTCCCCTAGTGTTCAATAGCTGAACCAGATCCGACGGATCATACGACGAGCGGCCCGGTGATGGAAGAATTCGAGCTGAACCTATCCAGAGTCCGAAATCTCATACAGTGAAGTAATTCTCGTGTAACGGGATTTTCGCGCGAAAGCTGGTCCTCGCGCTCGAAAACTTCTACCGTGACTCCCAAATTAAATCCGTTGTGATCACGGACCTGTGACATCCTAATGCAGTCGATACGCGCATTCTAGATTTGCCATAGATGCTCCTTGGTCCGCACATGGGTTGGTCCAGCCGTTTCATCAATGTATTCGTCTTCACATATGAAAAACATTTTGTTTGATATCTGCTCCCTGGGATGGAGGTGGTGTAGTGGCAACAGCACATCTACGCGAACGCAGTCATATTCCGGATTGGCCTCCGCCCAGCCAAGCCTTCTACGCTCTGTTGACGGCAAATTGGTACCATATTCGTCTGAGAGGATAATTCCACATTGTTGTACATCGGGTTGGCCTCCGCAAGTCATTGTATAGGCCACACCGCATTCAATAAGTCACTATGGTTATGTATGGAAATAAAATGTGTGCCGCATGACAAAAAGAATTGATCAAAGGCGAAAATATTCTTTATTTCAATCCTTTACCCATTTGGTACTTCTGGGTGGAGTGGCGACAGGGGCCTGCGAATTGAACTGCTATTCGTGCACACTATGAGGGAAACAAATTGACTGCGACCGTGTTTTCGTCGTAAACGTGGTTGGGTTGAACGAGCCAACACACCAACGCTTGCAGAA